GATAAATACCGACGCAGGCAGTGTCGATAATTACCGACGCACGCAGTGTCGATAAATACCGACGCAGGCAGTGTCGGTAATTACCGATGCAGGCAGTGTCGATAATTACCGACAGATACTGGGGGTCTCTCGAGGGGGCCGCTCCCGCGGGGTCACTTACGGGGATGTAAGAGGATACTCGTACCGACTTTATCTACTGGCAAAACCGACGTTACCGACACATTGCGTGTATCTATCCTGTATCTGGTCTGTGGCGAAGCTGCGTATACGGGCAGTTCTATGCAGCGTTCAATCAAACAGGTAAAAGTAGGTATGGAGGGGGTAACTTCAGGCGAGGGGAGTGTCACTAGAGTGCCCGCGGGTACTGATTTAGATATCCTTGATGTAGATGATCGTTTCTTAGAACCTGAATATACATTCGTGTAAACGGCGAGACAGCATCAACTCAAGATTCGTGCAACCGTAGGCAGATATAGGTAATAGTAAATAAAACCGGTTTTCAGCGGGATCTCGATACTAGTCACGATGCTGCTACCTATGCCATGCTACCCTGGTATTATTGTCTAGGAGAGCGAACTAGGAGAACGATAACAGGAATACGGGGTTCCAATTAAAACTCGTTAACGTTTCAAATAAATAATTATTTAATAACGAGTACATCCAGGTACATATTTATTCTTAGAAATCTAACGTATAAAATATAAAATATGATAAAACACGAAGAACGAGGTAGGTACAAGTTGTTTCTTAGATTTCTATTACAATCGCAAAATCTCTTTCACCACTATCAGGAGATAAGTAGGTCGGTCTTAATTCTTGCCATTTGATGCTCGAAAGCGCTTCCGTTTCTGATATACAATTTTAATTCCTCTAATAAAGCCATTGCCGCTTGGATGCAATTATCGTTATCTTGAATAGTCATGTCTGGAAACTGATCTCTTAGAAGTCGTAGCAGTATATTTATCTCACCGTCGGATCTGCAATTAAACAAATAAACTATAAAATATCTCGTATCTGCCAGGACACGCTTTCCGCGTACAGAATTATTTTGTTTACTTTGAAAATATCCTCAATCTGGCGTTCCCTTCGATAATGGGCAGTATCTCTATTAGGCAGAACATCAGACTTCCGGTCGCCGTCACGGCGTACACATCTGCGCAGATTTCTTTGAAAGATCTTTCGTATAAAAATTCCAAGAGCCGCTCCCCCCTCTCAGGATAGTTTCCGATCTGTATACCAACCGTCTTCTCGATCGACATACTTTTCACTGCCAAAATACAATGTTCCACGTGACTCGAAAAACGTATCGCGCTATCGTTATCGACCGTGTCCGCGACGAGCAGGCGAACGGTGGACACGGGCGTTTGATACTGCCGACCATCGACTTCGTACGAGACCACAAGGCCCGCGTCGCAGCAGGAATCCTCGTTGAATTTCGGCAGATCGACGACCACGGTGGCGGTGACTATTTTCCTGGACGGAATCGCGTTGATCCTACACCAGAACGGGCCGTCGGAAGACCAAAACGCCGACACGCCTCTCAGTTCCTCCAGTCCCTCGAGATCGACGTAAATCCGAGGATCGCTCAGCATTCTGAAACAAACGCGACACTTACCACACAAACCAAATTCGACTTTCCGACTAATCGATCATTCGGTAACCGAGGTTATCGATGAAGCCCCGGTTACCGCAGTCGGTAAAATCGCGAGCAAAGAAAATCGCGCGGCAACGGAAAAATGGGAAAGCATAGTCGCGTAGCAACAAAGTCGCGCGAAATCCCGCAGTTCGATTAAGAAAAAACGCTGATTACATTACCGAGAGGCGAGCGTTAGCGGAGCCGAGTAAACCCGACGGCGCGCGTGCGCGGTGCGTCCGGCGACAAATCGACCCGCGAAAACGTCGACCAATGGCGGGCGGCGATCGAGTCGTCTGGTAGCAGACGACGCGGCATGGAAGCGCAAGGAACGATCCGAGCGGATTCAGTGAACTGCAGGATGCCGCCGTGACCGTGTGGTTCTGTGTCCTTTGGTCGATCGGTTAGCTGCGTCACGTGTCTGATCGGGAACCATCGGCGTCAGTGTTTTGTACCTCGAGCCGACCGCCTTCGCCCGGGTTCGAACGAGACCGTGGACCACGACGCGCGGCGAGAACGAGGCTCGGCGGCAGGGGTGCGATAGATGCGGACCTGAATTCTCACGTCGGGTCGTATATGTCCGTCGGAAGTACGTATCGCGCGTCCGTCGAATCGTTCGATAATCGCGTCGTCGCGAGACGGAACGGGACGGGACGGGACGGGACGGGACGATGAAGGAAGGAGAAGGGTGTTCTCTGACCCATTGACCCAGGAGCACGGGCGATGCAGTCGCGGCACTGCTCGCGACACTCTTTCGATCGGACGCGGCGGTTGTGCAAGATATCGTGACTCGCTATGCAAAAACGAACGTGACTAGCATTACGACCTTGCCCTTTTCATTAGCGACGCTAATTCCACGGCGAACGGTAAGCCGACGATCGAAAGGGTACTCGCGTCACGCTGCACGCGGAGCGAGTCTAGATGCGACCGTGCGCCGTGTCCCTGCGTCGCGACGATCGGACGAAATTCGTTTCGCCTCGGCACGCTCGCGGATACTTGACCGAGCGTGGAATAATGCGAATCTACACAATGCTAGATGCTCCGGCGGATAAAGTGTCGAAACTCTCGCCGGTGTTAAGTAACCGTGAAATTTGAAAGGCGCCAGTCCGCTTTTGAAACGTTTGCTTCGCCGAACGGCAAACATCCCGGTGACGAAACGTTCGGGTCGACCCGTTATAGGTTAACTTCCGGCGTTACTCTGGGACCTCCGTGGAACGACGATCTCGGAGATGCTTCGTAGCTTTCTGCGAAGCGTATTCTCCGTCTACGTCGAAATTGCTAATCGAGAGTACCTGATCTAGTGTCGAGTGTTTCCAATTGGTAGAAACGAACGCGAAGAAATCACCGAATTAAATCGTCTAATCGAAAGTGTTGCGAGTGTTGTTTCGTAACGACCCTGAAACTTGACCGATCGACCGGTATAATCGATACTGCAGATTCGCTGCAGGGATCGATGGTATCGATTTTATTGTCGGTGATGCGAACGGTAGATATTTTTGTTTCTTAGCCCGTTGGAGACCAGGGAAATTTGAACCCTTTGCACTCGCAAGTGTCTCGCTGGAAATAGTTAACATTTTCTAACTAGACGACGTTGGATTTCAATCGACTCGAAAAGAAATCGTAAATTAAGGAACAATTTTATTTGGCTATTTTAGTCCAACATTTCGTGTAGTTCAATATTTGAGTCTCGCTGCGTCAAGTCGAGTGGCGACTGAGTCACTCGCAGTCGCCAGATGATTTGGCAAAGTGAAATTATAAACTTTAATTTACCATTAACGAGTACGTGGATGACATGATTTCATTATACATCTAATTAGAAAGTATCGAATATTTCAAGCGGAAAACTCTCGAGTGCAAAGGGTTAACAGATGGTCCCCAAAGTCAACGTGTCGCTTTATTAACCCTTTGCACTCCAGAAGTTTTTCACCGGAAATATTCAATATTTTCTAACGAGATACAGATGACATCTCAGATTGAATTAAGAAATCTCACGTGCATCGAGGAAGAGAATTATTTTCTTTCGATATTTCGTACATTGCATTATAAAGTTTAATATTAAATATCAAAGTTCACAGTTTTGCTGTGTCGAATCATTTGGTGACTCTGGTTAACCCTTTGCACTCGACGATATTTTTCATGAAAAATATTCATTGCTTCCTGACTAAATGTTAACGATATTTCTCGCAACACAATTGATTATCTATAAATTAAGAGACAGAGCTATTTTACTTCGACGTTTTATGTGTTGATACATTACACAAGGTTTGACATTGAATTGAAGATTTTATAAGTTCGTCGCGTCGAATCATTTGGTGACTTAGAGGCGCCTCCGGAACGCAAAGGGTTCAAAGTTCAGAAAGAACTTTAGAGTCTCAGTTCCAAAGCAATGTAAATTTCACTTTCGACTTCATCTCTATTTGGTCTTTTCACCAGGAATATCGCGTGGTTGGTCTGCAACGGGTTAAAATCAATAGAAAATTGTTGAAACGGTAACGGTACCGTGCGAACCGAAGCGTTACTCGATGTACACCGAAATATGTTTTGCAGCTCGACATGAGTACAGAAGGAAGATCGTTTATCGGGAGAAGATGACACCACGACGGCACGTATTCGCGGCGATTCGTCGAGTACTATTGGTCGCCGGCGTGATAACGCTGCTAGTGCTGGCCCTGTCGAGCCAGGATGCTGGCAATAGCGTGCAGCAAGGTCTTTTGTTGGAGGTGAGTGCGCAACCTTTTATCCGCCACGATACCAGGAGGAACGACGGACAAACGAAGGACGAAGGATCTCTCGCTGCTTGTACCGGTCTATTGCCTAGGACATCTAGACATTAACCCTTTACTCGGATGTTTCTTACTAGAAATATTTAACATTCTTTACGAGGCAAGACGATGTTCTTTGAAATCACCAGTACATTGATGAACAAAGCTGTTGTACTCTAATGTCTCACGTATCGAGGCATTATACAAAGTTTAACCCTTTGAACTCTAGGCTCCAATATTGCACCAGTTTTAATAATGAAATATTTCAATGAACTTTAAAGAAACTACCCTAAAATTATTCGATTTTTATCCAAATTTTGTGCTAAGGAAAATAAAAGATAGAAGAAATGTTATATTTCTAATTTTCGCTAATTAGATTCGCTTAACACTAAAACTACCAGAGGGGTCAAATGACTGGTGTCTTCGGCAATTGTTAGAAAGGTAACAAATGTTTCTCTGAGAAATTAAAGAAATTCACTTAGCACTGCGCAAATTCAATTGTAAACCAAAGTCTGAACAGATGTCCTTGGAGTTTCTATAGCGAAATTTGAAAGTCAATTGAAGCGCTCGGTAGTTTTAGCGTTAGAATAAGTAACATTTGGATTTATTAATTCGGTTTAGAATTCAGGTCAAGGGGTTAATTTAGCTACTAGAGCGGAGAATCTTCCATGCGACAGAAAAGACAAAAAAGAAAGTGAACCGGTTAGGTGTTAGGTCTAGGTTTCCCTGAGGTGTCCACGCGTGCACAGGTCGTTGAAGGTTTTCACCCCCGGCCAGGAATCATCCGACTAGATGTTTGTTTACACGCGATCCATTTGTCGAAGCAGGTAAATCCGAGGTCGCGTCGCTCGAGTCGAATAGCTCGCTCGAAAACCGAAACTCGCATCGACGGAGAGCGGCGGATTTTCGAGCGAGACCAGCGCGGATTTAGAGCACCGGAAAATTAGACGGATCGCTTTCTAAAGAACAATTACTCCCGGCCCCTGGAAGAACACCGAGGCTCTGTCGTTCCAGTTATAGTGGATGTAGAATGAAAAGCGCCTTCGAGAGAGGAGGCTCTTTGTCCGGGACGCTGGAAAGAGTTCCCTTACAAGCACGTACTCTCCGAAAGCGTACTTCGTTGTAGCTCAAGATATTTGCCGGCCTCGCGACCCTCTATCTCGCGAATTTTCGCTTCGACTTCGGATCGACAGCGTTTCTGAAACCCTTTGCCTTGCTCTGTTTCTTCCTCGACTATGCCATCGATGCAAGTGTTCTATCGTTGAAGATTCACTCGGGAAGAGGATTTCCTCTAATAATATTTCCCTCGAACTCGGAAGAATCGAACGGCGTTCCTTGAAATTGTTTGAAAATCTTTAGAATTCGACTGGAACCCTTTGCCTTACTGTCTTCCTCAACTATACGATCGAAGCAAGTGTTCTATCGTTGAAGATTCACTCGAGAAACGAAGATTTCCTCTAATATTTCCCTCGAACTCGAAAGAATCGAACGGTGTTCCCTGAATTCTATTTGAAAATTTTCAGAATTCGACTGAAACCCTTTAAAATTCAACTGGAACCCTTTACCTTACTCTGTCTTCCTCAACTATACGATCGAAGCAAGTGTTCTATCACTGAAAATTCACTCGGAAACGAGAATTTCTACTGAAACGTAAATAATATTTCCTTCGAACTCGAAAGAATCGAACGGCGTTCCTTGAAATTGTTTGAAAATCTTTAGAATTCGACTGGAACCCTTTGCCTTACTGTCTTCCTCAACTATACGATCGAAGCAAGTGTTCTATCATTGAAGATTCACTCGAGAAACGAACATTTCCTCTAATATTTCCTTCGTACTCGAAAGAATCGAACCCCGTTCCCTGAAACTCTGAAAATCTTTAGTTGGTCGCGATACTATCGAGTACGGCGTTAACGAATGATTTCGAGTGCTCGAAGCGAGAAGTTGGAACGTGTCCGAATAATTTATAGATCGAACGGCAGTGTCTCGGGAAAGGGGAAAGTTTCGCGGATGCTGAACGAAAGAGACACAGTTGTCGGTGTATCGATTGAAAATCGAGGCCCGCTACACGGGTACGGCAATTGCCTAGATCGAAGGGGTAACAATGAGCGTCGTTTTGCATGCTTAAAGGGGCCGTGTCGGGCGAGCTTGCAATCGCGTGCCGCATTGCGTCTGGAACTCTGCCAATCTATGTTCGCATCTCTTTACGTAAGACGATCGTTCCGCGATCTCTAGCTATACCCGTCACCGCGAACCCGAGTCTTCGCTCGGTTCTTCTCGGAACAGCCGGATTACGATTATCGTTTGATATTACACGCTGAACCGTCTGCTAATTCCTCTGCCGTTCGAAAACTACGATCCTAGTTCAACCCATTTCAGACGCCACGACTTTTTCTTTTCAAAAATCTTTCGCGGCTGAAATTTCGATGCGCGTTCGATTCGCGTCGAGTACACTTGGAAAAAGAGGTTCCTTTGCCCTGCGAAAACTACGATCCTAGTTCAACCTACTCGAGGCGCTACGATTTTTTCTTTTCAAAAATCTCCTGAAGCGAAAATTTCGATGCGTGTTCGATTCGCGTCGAGTACACTTGGAGAAGAGAGACTCCGCTGCTGTTCGAAAACTACGATCCTGGTTCAACCCATTTCAGACACCAGGATTTCTTTTCAAAAATCTGGACTAAAATTTCGATGCATCGCGTTCGATTCGCGTCGAGTACGCTTGGTTGCGTTTTTCTTCTGAAAAATCTGGAACCAACATTTCCAATTTAACCCTTTGCGGACGAAGATTCTTTGAAATGTACGAAACCATGCAGACGAAGTTCAATTACATATCGATTGCTTAATGAAAAGAAATTATACACCGATCTCTTGCTGCTCAAGTAATTGAATCGTTCACGAGTTACTCTTCCAAATATGGAAATTAGATCTCGCCGAAGTGTCGACACTCGTCCGCAGAGGGTTAACCCCTTACCTATGATTTCTTTCTCAGCTCAGATCGATACGGCTACTCTGTCATTAAGAATGTATTGGAAAGAGAAAAATTCTAAGCATACGTTATGCTTCTATTTCCTTTTAAGTATAGCAAATGATTACAGAGGAATATTTGAATTCGAATGAACTGACTAATACATATATTCGTTGAATCACGTTGAAAATCTTCACGAGTCTCACTCGTAGGGCAAGAGAAAATGTCTGCGATCGTTTCCGAGCATCGAACTGAAAATTCCGTTCGCTTATTTAGCGAGCAGAGAATAATGGAAGTTTATTCGAAAGGATTTCGCGCACACGGGGCGCAGCGCGATCGCAAGTAGGTCAGCCGAGGGGTGGAAACGGACACGTTTTCCGTTTTCCGTTTTCGGTGTATTACGGTGCCGCGAAGCCGAGGAATAATTACCGAACGCGTTTAAGGGAAATAAACGGTTCGGGTTCGCGCTCGGAATCGTGGGAAGATGCTCGTAAGGCTTCGAGCCGATTAGCCTCGGGTTTCCAAGCCTCCCCGTCGCTCGCGTCGAAGCGGTTTTCTTAACGGACGGCGCGCGGCACGCGTCGCACGCGCCGACCTTCTCTAGAACCGACAAGGTTAATTCAATTTCCTAATTTCTGCATACACAGTCGAAATACCCGGCGATCGCACGGCTGCCAGCGATCTATGCAAATGCACTTGAACGGACTGACCGGCGCGAGCGTTTTCTATGCCGCCGCTGATCCTTTCGTAACGAAGATAATGGCGTTAGGTATAATTACCGACGATTTGTCGCGGTTATCAACGCTGCTACTTCGTCGAGTGTTTCTATTATCCGTTGGAAATTCAGAATGCGTGCTTGCAATCGAGGAACTGAGTGGAATGCTTCGAAAAACGCAATTAAGTCTGGCGACCTTAACCCTAATCGTGCCACGTGTTTTTAGAAGGAATTATCACGATGCGACTCTCGGTCACTTACGAGAATAAACGGAACGATTGAAATTTTGCTTTTGTTTACGGAGCCCAAATTTTAACCCTTTGCGGACGAAGATTCTCTGAACTATACAAAACCTTTTGTAGATTCTGCATCACACATCGAGTGCCTAAATAACGTGGAATGAGGAAATCATGTACTGGTTTCTTGCTGTTTGAGCAGTTGAATCATTTGTTTGCAACTTAGTATTACAAACATGAAAGTTTCATCTCAAAGTGTCGACATTCCTCCGCAAAGGGTTAAAAGTCCAAGCAAGCTTGTGGAAATGCGGTGTGAAATAAGACTCAAGGTCGCATCGTGGTCCGATTAGGGTTAACTTGGTAATTACTGGGAAACGATTAGAATCATTCGGACAACCGCTGTCGAATAAAAATGTTCGGTGAATAAGATAATCGTGATACCGGATAATTGGTAATTGTTTTAGTCTCCACTGCAAGAGATGAATGGTACGCTGAAATTTTTCGTGGCAGTCTCCGCGAGATGCTGGTTGCACGGTCGCTCGATTTTCCTCTCATTTCTCATTCTATTTTAAAAAAGAATCGCCGCGAACTACGGCAGCCTCGTGATAACCGGCCGGAAACGTCGAATGCAGAAGCGGTGGCGGCTTCCGTTTATTGATTTCCGCGTAGAAACTGCTCACCGGTAGCCTCGCGTTCACGCCGAGGCCGAGGTCGCGCAACGGTCAGTTTTGCTGTTTTACCAGGCGAAAGTGAGCTCGCGAAATCTCGCCCAAATCGAGCAGCTTCGTTGTCAGAGATAATCGAACGGAGGTATAGTAGTTTGATACGTTCACTCGTAAATCAGCGTGCTTCGCGAACAATTCGGAGTTTCCGTTTTATCGCGATTCAACGCGTTCCGTGCCGGACCATTTTTTGAAGACCCTCACTTTTGCAATCAATTAAAATTAAATAAACGTATACATGATATTAACACTAGGTTCACGGAACGCGTCAGATTGACGCGTATTGGATTTTAGAAATATTATTTTGTAAACGTTTACGCCGATTTTGATTGATGCGATCGCACTGACATGTACCCCAATTACTATCAAATCTCCAGTTTCCACAATCTGAATAAACGAGCATCAGTTCTTTTAGGAATAATAGAATCAAGTGTACAATAAATGTTAAAATACCTATCTTTAACTCTACACTAAATTTTGAAAAAGTTCTTCGTTTCTCAACGACAATTCATTTTCCGAACGGAAAATTCAGCGTGGGTCATGTACGCCCCACGCGGCACGGAGCGTGTTAAAGGAAACGCGCGTTTCGAAACATTTTCTCCGACGAATCGATTGGAATTTATCAGTATCGAGGAAGACTGCAGATGTTATCTGTGCCCTTTGAAAGATCTCCGCCGCGTTGGAAAAGGTGTCTTAGGAGGGAAGACGGCGTACGCTTGTCACCTGATTACGATATGTATCCTCGGCGCATTCTTCGCTCGAGACGTTGAATAATTTAAACGCATCCAATGTATCATCAACATATGTGCAAACATTATATAAGACTGCGGTGTTATTACGCAGCGGCATTTCGTGCCATTATGTTGTATAACTTCCTTCGATTACTAGGTTTTTCAGCACGAAAATGATCCCCAGTTTGGAATCGGCTCGATTTTACGGACAGCATCGTCGGGTGGTTATTGCGGTCAATGTTTTGCGAATGTTGTGACTCATCTTCGGGCGAATCGTTGCGCGGCCATAATCGCGTGTATAGTTAATCGAAGCTGTTGTTTCAGCCGCATTGATTGCACTCGAGGTCTACAGTTATTTGCACGTGCAACCGGTGCAATCGATGCCCGTCGATCGTACGTGTACGTACGTACGTACGCCTGTTAGATGTTTCCCGTTGCATTGCGAAACCGATTCCCACAGTGTTGCGTAACTTTTTAGAAATTACCGTTTCCATCGATGCGTTCGACGGTCTTCTCGCGGTTTAGAAAGGGTTTTCATAATCGAATGGATAAGCGGACACTTGTAATGAAACAGAGAGAAATGCATGCTGCTGATTAGAATGTAAATCCTTGGCCAAGTTTGTTGAGGCGTGATGCGAAACGCTCGGGGTGATTCTTTCCGCTTTATAGTCGCCGGTAATTATATTCGATATATTCAACGCGGATGGCACGCACGATTCGTCTGCGTTTGTATTTGTAATTTCAATGTAAATGAAAGAGAATGTACGGCCTGTTTTCAGGAAGATTCCAACCTGACTCCAGAGGAACGGTTAATGGAGGAAGCAACGAACGTCGAGACCGAGCGACGATTGATCGCTAGGAGGAAGTTTTTGACCGAGAGATGCGCCGAGGAAGGTTTGGATCGACCTGGGAACGATTCCCTTCACAGACCGAATGCCTGGGAATTCCTTGTAAATAAAGAGTACCATCTGATATGGTGCAACGTCTTCAAAGCAGCGTCTACGTCATGGATGTACAATTTTAATTTACTAGCTGGGTATGATTATAGATTCTCTGGTTATTTGAAATGATCCGTTACGTTTGAATTAATGTTTCTAAGCGGTGATTAATTTGTTGTTTAGATACAGTCCACAGTTCTTGAAGGCCTCGAATGCTGTACCAGTTTCTCTGGCGAGGCGGAAGTATCCTAGATACACAGCAGAAGAGTTGTCCAAGTTCCTAAACGACAGTATCAGTTTTCTGATTGTCAGGCATCCCTTTGAGAGATTACTCAGCGCTTATAGAGATAAACTGGAGCACAGTTTACCGCACACGTTTCATAGTAATCTGGGGGCTCATATTGTTTGGCACTACAGATCAAGGGTAAACATTTCTTGAGAAAACAGATAATTACCTTCGGATGGTAGCTTAATGAGTATACATTTTTATTGGTTTCCTGTTTGACCTGATTAGGATCCAAAAACGAATGGACGACACGGTCCGAGGTATCCGCTGTTTGAGGAATTTGTACGATGGCTGTTGTGCCAGTGGAGAGCTGGCAACGAGTTGGATATGCACTGGACACCGGTTGTGAATTTTTGTACACCGTGTCAAGTTCGATTCGATGTAATAGCAAAATTTGAGACACTTCATGTAAGCATTCCTCGGTTCGCCGATAAGAAACCGTCAACGCGAGTAATCTTTGCAAAGATAATCAATGTATGTATATCTTATGTGTCTCTAATACAATGTATATCCTATAAAGGAAGATCAAGATTACCTGATCAAACAAGCTCACGTGGGCCACATTATCAAGCCAGAGTGGAAGAATCCGACTAGAGGTGTTCAAACAAAGGACGTAATAAAGAATTATTTCGCTCAATTGTCTAAATCCCAGATCAATGATCTGTACGAGATGTTTAGGTAAGATTAGAGTGAACTTAACGTCAACCGCAGAGCTATTATTTATATGGATATTTTTAATTGCAGGTATGATTTTGTGCTCTTTGATTACTCTCCCGATGATTATATTATACTTGGGAGAGATGAAGATACAGAACTGATTTGTAAAAAATAATTAAGTACCGGCTGTCTGGTGCATAGGAAACAATTGCATCTACGTTTGAATGTTCTGTTTCTGTTTCGTTAAATTCGCACCGATGCGTATGAAGTCGGTTACAACGAATGTATTAGATAGGAAGTAATGGTTACTAATTACAATGAATTACTTCGAATTAGGGATTATGCCCCGATCGCGTTACTTAATTGCTAAGATAAAGAAAATATAGTCAGCTTCTCGAGTTGACAATATCTGTGCAAGCACTGTTATTGCATTTGAATTTTTGATAATTGACAAATAACAAATGTTACAGTCTATTAAACTGTTAGACTCTATGAGAATCTTGAATATTTGCAAATTGTTATGATACAATTACGAAATATTTTGAAGGCCTCACGTACGCGTAGTAAAAGTATTACACCGCTTATATATTTGCATTCCCATAGTTGTACATACATTTAAACTCTTTCCTTTGTTTGCTAGCTATACGAATTATACATAGAGTTTATTTTTTGTTAATATAAATATACAAAGTCGATTGACAAAGCTTATAAGATGTTTTGTAATCTAATATTTGAAAACAGAACATTTATATTATCTTATAATTTATATCTGTATATCTGTGTATATGTATATACACATATGTTGGTATAACCATTGTTACCATAGTTATTATTTTCAATATTAAGATGGTAATATTATTGCCTAGGAAAAATGTAGCATACAACTGTAGTAGTAACATCTACTGAATTATACTTCCAGTTGCTACATATAATTTTTCTACTGCTTGTTTTTGCTTTCGAATAATTGTTTGGTTTTCCTGTTTCAATCTTGTTACGAAACTTAATAAAAATGATTCACTATCAATGGTACTTAAATCTCCAATGAAATATTTATGATAAAATCGGTATCACGAATGTTATATGATCTTATGTAAATAAAACAAAAATTTTTGTAAAATGAACATTAACAAAACAAACGTGACATAGAAAATTTCAATCCTTTACAATTTTATATATCATAAGTACAAAGTGACAATAATTTTGAGAAATAAAAGAATTAAATGAAGTAGACTACACGAAACATTAATTTTATTCATAGGAAATGTTTACTTTATTCAAATTAAATTTAAGTGTTTCATAAAATAGAAGATACAAGCTTTATAAAGGCAAATCATTCTTTTAAATTTCATAAAACAAAGTTTTAGTTATTCCATGCAGAATATGTTATACTTCATTCCGATTTATACCCATTACAGTTGAAGGATATATGATGGAACATGCATATTTATAATTTAGTAGATGCAATGTACTTACTGCGTTGACGTATTCTGTAGAACTACACCAATGACCCACTTCTCCCATAAGACACGTTTCCAGCTATTTTGTACAATTAAAATTTGATTGACCTTGATTCCTTGTTTTTTTTTCTTCACAACTGGTTGTCCGTCTATAGTGTATAACTGCAAAGAATACATATGAATATTAATGCAATAGAGATATAGATTATAACTGTTTATTTTTCACGGGCATTACAAGTAGGTGACTCACATCACTGTCAGAATCTGAAGACACATTTTCTCCATACTGAGCATTGTACTGCAATTTCTTTAAAATTTTTCCTGTCGTAACTTGGATTTCTTTAATATCGTTCGTTGTCTTTTCAATTCGAGTTTCTACATCTGATAATTGTTTCATTAAATGCTCTTCTACTGGATTGCATTTCGGTGTTTGTATCGGTAAATCTTCATCACTGAGAGCAAACATATCCTCCTCGAACATTTCCATTTTGTTTGCAATGATAAATTCAAAGTTTGACAATGAATCATACTTCCTTATCAACCAACGATTAGCAACACTACCTAATCAGGAATGACAACAAGTGTTAGAAATATTCATTTTTCTAATACGTCGAAATAACCTTTCCGTCGACATTGTGATATACCAACAAATAACTGTAGTGCGTATCTGCTTTGAATGTATTTACGAAAAATCCTTCACGAAACTTCTTTAGTTTTGAAACTGAAACGAAACGATACGCAAAAACACTTTTGACCGGTACAGCCGAAAACACATATTTACGCCGCATGTAGAGTAAACCACGAACGATTGACAGGACAGATTGGATACCGCATAGGATTTTATGTCCAATGTTCTAGAGTACCGACCGTTGTCAGGTAGACGTGATCCCACCTCTTACTAATTGTAGCCGGCATCACTCATCTGTGTGCAAGTATAAATATAGCAAGTAAAACTCGCTTACTCGCTTTCGATATCTTAACTAATTAATATATCCCACCATCATGGAAATGTAACATTTTTTTTCTCTGTACACCACAGACAGCAGTATATATGTATTTAAACAGAGATGAATAAAATATGATTTTTAATAAATATTGAGTACTATTCGTTTTCCTTTTATCCTGTACCTTAGCAAAAATATAAAAATATCTCTTCTACGCGATCGGTACTTCAGAACACTGCACATGAAGTCCCATACGATATCCACTCTAACCTGTCCACCGTCGGTGATTTATTCTACACGCGGTGTAAACATGTTTTCGGTTGTACCGTTCAAAAATGTGTTCAAACATCGTTTCGTTTCAGTTTCAAAATTAAAAAGTTCCGTTAAGGATTTCTTGTAAATTTATTTAAAAGAGATAGACTGCTATTACTACAAATGTTCGAGAAGGTTATGTTTGTTCTAAGCGATGAAGATTTATTGATACAAACACCGAAATGCAATCCCATAGAAGAGCATTTAATGAAACAGCTATGAGACGTACAAACTCGAATTGAAAAGACAACTAAAAATATTAAAGAAGTCCAAGTTACGGCAGGAGAAATTTAAATAAATTGCAATACCAAACTCAGTATAGAAAAAATGTATCTTCAAGTTCTGACAGTGATGCGAATCATCAAAGTACTGAAGTAAGTACCTAGTATGTACCGTGTGTGTACAACCTCCAATAAGATCCCATCTTGTTGGCAGAGAGTCGATTTCGGCCGAGAAATCTTTTCGAAACCTCGAAAACGAACATCTGTACTAGGAGAACATGAGCACCAAAGAGGTCATCGAAGATATCTCATTCTAGGAATATTTTTCACATTGTGAATTCTAGGGAATTTCGTTAGTAAATATTGACTACGCTGTTCTTGGAATAGATAACTACATTCGTTGTTATGACTAACAGACATATGTTTTTATAGTTCGTGGCACCTCTGCGTTTGGCGTATTAAAATGTCGCTGACAAGGTTAGTCGTGTGATAAATTTTCCAAATTTATTTTATCATCTTATTTATTTTTTTTTACCATATATAAAAGTGTTCATCTTAATAAGATGTTCGCGTTATTTGTTGCAGTGTAATTCAATATATTGGAAGTACCTACAATCATTGGATAGAATAGTCTGCCTATGCATCATTTCCTTTTTATGTTTAAAACATTTTATTAATTTCGATTTCTAGTTTTATTACTCATGGGGCATATCACAAGAAAAAATGAGTCCAATTAGAATAAAATTTGTCTCATTTACATTAATTCTTGTTACAGTTTACTACCTGCACCATCACAAGTGGTGTGGGATAGAGAAGATGAAGCACGCGAGCAAAAGTTGCGTCAAAGACCAGTGTCTGCATTGGTCAAAGCAGTTGTCACTGCACCTCCTTATGGACAGCGTAAAGGATGGGTTCCCAGAAATCCAGAAGTATGTTTCATTTATGTCTATTCATCCAAATGTTATTGCAACACAATCATTGTTTATAATAATGGAACTTGTAATCTAATATAAGTTATTAAAGATTAATATAATGTAAACAGGATTTTGGAGATGGAGGAGCATTTCCAGAAATTCATGTGGCTCAATACCCACTTGGCATGGGAATGAAAGGCAAAGAAACTTCAAGTAATGCATTAGCCGTTCAATTAGATGCTCATGGAAAGGTGAAATATGACGTTATTGCTAGACAAGGACATTCTAAAGATAAGGTATTTTATAATGAACGTTTAAATGTTTTTGTCGGTTCTTTATACTTTCTCTCCATTCTTATCCTGGTGACCTTTTGCAGATCGTTTATAGCAAATTGAGTGATTTACTACCTTCAGAAATAACAAGTGAAGAAGATCCTTCTTTGCAACGTCCTCCAACAGATGAAATAGATGAACTCACAGAGAAAACCAAGAAAGCTTTGGAGAAGATAACCAGATCAAAGATAGCCGCAGCTATGCCAGTGAGGTGTGCGGAGAAACAAGCTCCAGCGCAATATATTCGGTACACACCTTCGCAGCAAGGACAGTCCTTCAATTCAGGTGCTAAACAGAGAGTTATCAGAATGGTAGAAGCTCAGATAGATCCCTTGGAACCACCGAAATTCAAGTAAGTTCTTTTGCATCGTAAGTTTGCCAAAATCGAGGCATAGAATCAATTACGGATATTCTAAGTAGGCAGAGACTACGTTAAATAATACAGTATTGTTTACAATCATTAGGATCAATAAGAAAATACCAAGAGGTCCTCCATCGCCTCCTGCACCGGTTATGCACTCGCCGACAAGAAAGGTCACCGTGAAAGAACAAAAGGAATGGAAAATACCACCTTGTATTAGTAATTGGAAAAACGCCAAGGTAAATTGGACCAGTTCTTTCAGCACCAACGAAAATTGTTAATTAAATTAAATGTTCTTTCACTTTCAGGGTTACACGATTCCTCTGGACAAACGTTTAGCCGCAGATGGTCGTGGTTTGCAACAAGTCCACATCAACGAGAATTTTGCCAAACTGGCTGAAGCTCTTTATATCGCCGACAGGAAAGCTCGCGAGGCGGTAGAGATGCGAGCACAGTTGGAGAAGAAATTGGCTCAAAAAGAGAAAGAGAAGAAGGAAGACCATTTGAGACAGCTCGCACAAAAGGCCAGAGAAGAACGTGCTGGCTTAAAATCTTCTGCCGCAATGGGTTTGTACTGGATTCTACGTCTATTGATTATATACTTGAGTAAAATCACGTTACGTCGATTACTACTTATTGCAAGAAATGTAATAGTATTTTGTATAATGATCGTACAGACAAATCGGAGGAGTCTAGGGAAAGGGACCAACTGAGGCAAGAAAGACACAAAGACCGTGCTCGCGAAAGGAATTTGGCACGAGCAGCACCTGACAAGCGTTCCAGATTACAACGCGAACGCGAACGCGATATCAGCGAACAGATAGCGCTCGGTTTACCGGCGAAGAGTATTCCCAGTACCGGGGAAGCCCAATTTGATCAACGACTGTTCAATACGAGCAAGGGTATGGATAGCGGTTATGGCCACGACGATGAGTACAATGTCTACGATAAACCATGGAAAGATTCTAACTCTATTGGATCACATATATACCGACCCAGTAAAAATATCGACAAAGACACTTACGGAGATGATTTGGAGAAGCTCGTTAAAACAAACAGGTTTGTGAGATTCTTTTCTCAAGTACTTCGAGCCTCGTGAACTACTACATTTATTATTATTTTAGATTTGTTCCGGACAAGGAGTTTAGTGGTACTGATAGATCAGCTACTCGATCCGGGCCAGTACAGTTCGAGAAAGACGAGGAGGATCCGTTCGGTTTGGATCAGTTCTTGAAACAGGCGAAACGTGCGAGCAGTTCTACCACGACAACCACCAAGCGGAAGGACGAACGCGATCAACGAAGGGATGACCGCGACAAACGAAGGAAACATTAGCTTTTCCTCTTCTCTAATTATACTTTTATCATTTTAGACGTAACACACCGATTTTCTTTGTCTCAAATTGGTGCATACCATTTCAATTGAACCTACTTTAGACTTGAGATAAACGATGAAGTTTAAATACACCTTTAGGGTTGGCGGAAATCGTATTTTTTTTTTTACTGATCCGCACTGTACGATGAGCTATAAGATGATACTGCAAGAACTCTATGGATGTGTACAAAATTATTGCTAAATAAATTATTATTTAGTAAAAAGAGAACTACGATAAGGTTCATTTTGGTCTTTAGGAACTGGTGAGGGTTTCATGCGTACGATCGTTGTCTCAAACGGACAGACGTTCAGTGTCATTACCGTTTATTTCACGTTTCAGACTCATGATTCTTTATTAACACAATGTGCATACAGCGTTCGTTAGATTAACAAAGGAAGCGATACTTTCGTACGGGGAGCAACTGTTATCTCTTCTTAATAATAACGCAATTATTTCGCTTTCTCATCAAATCATAGGGTCCGCTATGTTTAACGACACGCGCGGAAGCTGCGTGTCAACACGTTTTCATTGTTTTTTTTTTCAGTT